CACTTCTCCGCCCTTCCTCCCTCCCCCCTCCCTCTCATCCTCTCTCTCATCCTTCATCCTCCCTGCTCCTCCTCCTCATCCTCCTCCTCCTCCTTCTCCTTCTCCGCACAAGTGGGTAGGGGGACGGGGGAAGGCTTTTTAGAAGAAGGCTGTTTCTTAAAAGGCGCCGGCCTCACATCCACAGACAAGGCCCGCGCCTTCTGAGAAGCAGGGGTGCTTCAAAGAAGCCTTCCCCCCTCCCCCTACAGTCGGACCTAGGCCAGAAGAACATCCTCTAAGAACATGAGACCCTCCGTCGGCCAAAACGCACAAAACATCCAAGGGTACGCTCCCCAGGATGCACAAGAACATCCAACAAACACGAAGAACACAAGAGTAACCTCCCCGACCCGACCTCGATCTTGTACCTCGGTCGGACTGTAGCGTGACGCGCCCGCTCGGCGGGGCGGGGGCTGGGAAGTGCTCGGGACGGGGGCGCCCAGGGGCCGAGCAGTGGACCGCGTGCGCGCCGAAGCGTGGTGGGCCAGAACCGACGGCGCGACACGCGGCGCCCAAGCTCCCGACCGCACGCCGGCGCTGCCCAGCCGTGCCCGCCGAGCCCGTGGGGGCCGCCGAGCCCGCGGCAGCGGCAGCGGCGGCGGCGGCGTCGTCGTCGTCGTCGTCGCTGAGGCCAGCGGCCGCCGAGCTGGCCGCCGACGGGCCACGGCTGCTGGGGTGCGGCGGCGGCCCCTTGCTGGGCCGTGGGCGGGGCGGCGCGGCAGAGGCCTGGCGCGTCGCGGCCCTCCCGAACAGCTCCACAGCCACCAGGGCCGAGGGGGGGAAGGACCAAGGGGCCCAGACACCCTCGCGCTGCGACAAAAATCACAACGGAAGGTTTTTCGCTACTTTCGGCCTTTGGAGGCCCTCGCTGGGCCACGGGACCGTCAAAAAACGACTCGGGACGAAAAAACGATCCCGGGGAGGGGGTCCAGAACTCTGGGGGGGCCGACGTGAGAAAGGGACTTCGCTGCACCATCTCCGCTCTCGAGAGCGCGGGCCGAGGGATCGAGGGTCGAGGGCTCGAGGATCGAGGGGTCGGGGGACCGAGTATCGAGGGATCGACGGACCGAGGGATCGCAGGACCGAGGGATCGAGGACCGAGGCACGACGGGGTGACCGCTAGGGGGAACGACAGGGGGGCCGGCTCAGGGGGGGCGAGCACCGGCCTGAAGTGGGTGATGCATCGCCGAAAGATCGGCGATAGGCCCTCCAGGGCGAAACCGCACGTTCCGGGGCGGGGCGGGCTATCAGGCCCCTATCGGCGATGCATGGGCCGTTGGAAGTCCACGCACTCCCCCCTCGAGCAGCCCCATGCTCATCTGGGCGAGCAGTTCCTCGAACATGCTCCGTGAAGGGAAGGAGCTACACCACGGCCCGAGTGAGGATCTCAGGGCGAGGTCGTTCCCACGGCTCTGCGCAAGCAGGGCCCGACCTGTGCCGCTCAAGATCGACGATGATCCCCGCGAGCAGGGCAGGGTCCCCAATGAGCACGATGATCAAGCTCCAGGATGAGCTCCACGACTGTTGCGAACGCCAAAGTATCGATCGCGACAAGCAGAGTGGCGCCGAGCGCCAGGGTGACGAACCGCCCCACTTCAACACATACAGCTCGGCGCCGTAGCCCACAAGACGGTTGCGCAAGACTCGGTCCACCATAGCTAGCGAACAAAAAAGCGGTGGCATGCGTGGCGGAAGCCCTGCCGCACATGGCGCACAATCCACGGACCTTATCATCCTCCTCGTCCCCCTCATCCCCCTACTCATCATCAGAATCATCATCATCATCATCATCATCATCATCATCATCATCATCATCATCATCATCATCATCATCATCATCATCATCATCACCATCATCACCAGCATCATCATCACCATCATCATCAGCATCATCAGCATAGGCATCACCATCATCACCACCACCACCACCACCGGCATCCACACCACCACCACTACCACCACAATCATCATCATCATCATCATCATCATCATCATCATCATCATCATCATCATCATCATCATCATCATCATAAGAAGCAGCTGCATCATCGTCGTCATCATCATCCTCCTTATCGCCATCATCATCCGCATCATCATCACGATCACAATCAACATCGCCAGCATCATCATCATCATCATCATCATCATCATCATCATCATCATCATCACCAGTATCATCACAACCATCATCACCACCGTCACCTGCATCATCACCGTCGCCATAACCCTTCTCGTCATCGGCACCACCATCAACAATCACCATCGTTACTCCCTTATGATTACCATGAATGTTAATACGAATGCTGTTTTCGCCCCTCCCACTATGCCAGCCCCCCCACCTCCTCACCGTCATCCCCCGCGTCGAGGTGGTATCCTCCCTCTCCACGTCGAAACCCAAGTCGGCCAGATCCACAGGTGCGCCGGCACACTCTCTGTCGATCTCCTCCTCACCGGACAAGTCCTTCTGGTCGGGCCGCTTCCCGTCCGTCTCCCTCCTCCTCCTCCTCCTCCTCCTCCTCCTCCTCCTCCTCCTCCTCCTCCTCCTCCTCCTCCTCCGTCATCCCCACCACGACCGCCGTTATCCACTTTCCGCCGCTCCCCATAACAGTCCTGCTTTGCTTGCTCCTCCTCCTCCTCCTCCTCCTCCTCCTCCTCCTCGTCCTCTTCCCTTTCGTCGTCCTCCTCCTCCTCCTCCTCCTCCTCCTCCGCCTCCTCCTCCTCCTCCTCCTCCTCCTCCTCTCTCCTCCTCCTCCTCCTCCTCCTCCTCCTCCTCCTCCTCCTCCTCCTCCTCCTCCTCCTCCTCCTCCTCCTCCTCCTCCTCCTCCTCCTCCTCCTCATCCTCCTCCCCCTCCCCCTCTTCATCAGCCGTTCCGCGCACGAGCGGCCCCTCATTGCGTGGGCAGGCCCGGGCGTTCCCGATGCGAGTTTCGTAGCGGCGTTGCCTCGGGGAGACATCAAGAACCGTGGGCCATCAAGAAGCGGCAGCTAGCCGTGAATAGGCTCATGCAGAAGGGCCAGGATGTCCTCCTCTCCTCTCGTCCTTTGCTTTCCCGCGCCCCCCCTTTCCTCCTCCTCCTCCACCTCCTCCTCTTGGCGCGCACTGGCGTCGCTGCACAGCACGCCGGCAACAAAGTGCAAGCGCCAGACGCCTTCATCAGCTACATCGCTGAAATGAGCGTGTGCGAGAAGAGCGAGCAGTGGCAGCAGACTCTGGCCTGGCTCCGTGAGCGGGCGAGAGTAGAGAGACAGCCCGACACGCTCGGCCACAACGCCGAAAGAGCGCGTGATAACAACCGGCAATGGCAGACGCCCTCAGCTACAGCGGTGAAGCCAGCGTGCGAGAGAAGGGCGAGCAGCGGCAGCAGGCTCTGGCTGGAACGCGAGATTCTGGAGGCAGGCTGAGGAACGCGCGGGGGGGGGCCACGATCAGCTACAACGGTGGGAGCAGTCTGCGCGAGAAAAGGCGAGCGCAGTGGCAGCGGGCGCAGGTGCTGAGCAGAGCGCGCGAGGGGCGATCAGCCACAACGTTGGGAGCAGTCCGCGCGAGAAAGGGCGACCGCAGTGGCGGCGGGCGCCGTCGCTGAGCGAAACGCGCGGGCGGGCCACGATCAGCTACAACGCCGGGAGCAGCCCGCGCGAGAAGGGGGCGCGCAGTGGCCGTGGACGAAGGGGATGCACCCCGCAGACCCTGGCGCGGCGATAAAACGGCTGCGAGAAAAGGGAGGCGATGATAGAGCCTGACAGCATCTGACTAACTCCGCTAGGAACAGTCGCGCACGAAAGTACAGGGGCGCACATCACAAACTACAGCGCTGGGATCAGCTCGCGCGCGGAAGGGCGGGGGCAATCGCCCGCGGCAGGGTTGCGTTTCATCGGTAGCCAGGCGAAAGCCTCTTGCGAGAAGCGGGGGGCGAAGCTGGCGCATGATATCGTCGAGAGCACCAAAGCCAGCCTCTCGCGACAAGCGAGGGGCGAAGCTGGTGCCCAATTTCGTCGGGCGCGCCCTCCGCCGAAGGGCCGAGATCAACTCGCGCGAGAACACTTCGGCGATCGCGGGGCCGGGAAGGATCTCAGCTACAGCACGGGGATCGAGTCGCGCGAGAACCAAGGCAGCGGCAGCGGGCCCTGCTGCCGCGGGGATCCGACGAGCCAGTCCGGGCCACAGCGCCGCTCGCGGAAGATTTTGCGAGAGAAGCCCCTTTGGGGCAAGCCCTCAGAACGCGCGGCGTTCTGGCTCGGCCCGGGGGCGGCCCGACGCGGCAAGGGCGACCCGCGGCGCGATTCCATGGGGCATCGTGCTGGTTCGAGCAATAGAACCCAGCATAGCTATCGTATTCCTCCTGCTTGGTTTCTGCCTCGCTCGCCCATCATCCCTCGCCCGTGCGACGCACGCATCGAAACGAACAGGTTAGCGCCCTGCCCCACACAGCTAGACTGAAACAGAAACATGATTCAGCATTCACGCGGGCGAGCTGAGACGGGCTGGTTTCGGCCGACAGGCCGAACCTCGACATGCACCTGCCTGCCACTGCATCAGACTCGACCACGGGCCATGCCAGACAAAATTCCCGCGCCCCAATCTGAGCGGCAGCGACAGCACCGAAAACAACATCGGAGGCCCCAGACCGCTCCGCCCACTGAGGTCCACCGCCGAAGCGAGCGCGCACCAACGACAACACGCACGCGCTGCAACGACAGCGGCGGTGAGGGGGCGGCACTCGCACAACAGCGGCGGCGGCGGGGTCGGTGGCCTGGGCTGCTGGGGGCAGCGCCCGCCGCCTCCTCTCGCGCGCCTGCTCGAGGTCGCGCGTGGACATGCGCTCGCTCTCAAAAGGGAAAAGACACCGGCTGCCTGACACAACGACAACAGGCCCCACAGGATCACGAGGCAGCGCGGGGCCGAGCGGCCAACGGAGAGAGCCCTGCCGAGACCAGCCTTGCTCGCGCGAGGCGCCCGCGATACAGCGTGCCACACACACACGCACACTCTGACAATTCGACCGCCTGGGCCATCGATGACAACTTGACCCGCTACATGCGCACCTGGGACAACTGACTGCCCACAGCAAAAGACCTGAAAGAAGCCTCATGGCCGGGGCTGGGCGGCGAGGTCTGCCCAGGCGAGGCCAAGACGCAACTGAGCCCATCACAGACGACGCCTAGCCGCACGCGCGCGGCGCAAGGCGAAACGGGAAGAGGCACACCCTGCCAAACCCCTCCCGCCATCGGTTTGGCCTGTTGTGGGGACTTGGTTTCGGCGCCCAATATCGGCGCCACGCGGCCAGCATCGCGCGCGAGGGATCTGCGGAGACCTCGAAGATGGGATCAACACGTTTACCGCGCGCGGGGAGAAGGGAGCGAACGGCGAGGGGCTGGCCCTTGACATCCCACAAAGTGCCTGTGCTCTCTCAGCCCCTGACCACGCGCGCCCGAGACATCCCTGCAAAAATTTGCACTGTTTTCGACAGTGGCCTCGGGCAGTCGCGCGACCAGCCTTCGGCGCTGAGTCCTGAGCAAGATCTTTGAATACCATGTTCGCGCCTAGGCTGCCTCGAGCCGGCCACGCTTCGCACCCCGCCCGAACCTCCGACCCAACCTGAAATCCACACACTCACGTTCCTCCCCGCGCGCGGCGCGCCCTCCAAGACACCGCAGGTCGCTCTCAAGCGCGGCCCGCAAAACAGCTGCGTTTCCGAGGAACCTGGTTCTGTCCTGAGCAATGCGAGATCAACCATGCGCAGCTGGGGCTTCAAGCCTGCCCCTGCAGCTACCTGCGCCGCGCGCACGCTGTCCTCCGCCCCACAACGCAGGAGCCCGATATCATCGCAACATCCGTCGTGGAGAGCGCGACAGAAAGGGCCGGGAGCCGCTGTCTGAGCTCTCGAGCGGCCCTGACAGAGTCAGCCGCAGCATCGCAGGGGCCAAGACGCAACCTGGAAGCACACTCTGTTCCTTCTTATTTTTTTAAACAAAAAATCCGACGGGGGAAAACATAAAAAGAATTTGCGGTCGCCGATAGGGCGCGATCTAAAGGCGCAGACTACAATTGGGGATTCGCGCGCGCCCTACTGCTGCAACAAGACGATGGCGCCCAATGGGCTCAAAAGCTTCAAGGTCGACCGAAACCGCCCAAGAACCCATTGCATGGCGACGCGCCCGCTCTGCCCAAGCCGCCTGCACCCTCACTCGCTCGCCAGCAGCCTCGCCGCGCGCCCCCCAAGCAAAACCTCCGAAATCTCGACGCAGTCAGCCCCGCGCGGGCCGCGCAGTACCGCGGCAAGGCAACGCAAGAGAGCAATTGGCCCCGCGCCCCGCGCACGCTTGGCAAGGAAGGAAACCTTGGTCCACATCAAGGGCGAGTCCAGCCTCGGCTCGATCAAGTGCAAGATTTCGACAAGAGCATCGAGACCTCTGGCGCCCCGCAGAAGCAAGCGCCTCGGGCTGGCACGCTCATATCTCTGGCCCGCGGAGCGCTCGAAGAATTGCAAAACACGCGCAGCCTCAGCAGCAATGGGTTTTGAAGGTGCCTGGACGAGGGTGAGGTCGGGACAAGCAATCGGAGGATGCTTTCCCGGGACATACCACGAAGCTGGCCACTCCTTACGCAGTTGCTCGACTTGCTCGGCTGACCCAAGGGGCACAAAGTCTGCGGTGGCATCGTCTGTCGTCGAACCAGCAGGCACTTCCTAGAACTTGGCGCTGGTTGGTTCGAGTGAGTCCGCCAGCCCGGCGCAGAGCAGGAGCCTGGAGAAGAAACAACTTCACCATCGCTGAGGCCCCCTTGCAGCACCACTTGGGCGGCACAAGATGGGCGAAGTGTGGTGCGACATGTCTTCCTTGTTACTTGCACGAACCCTCAGGGCTGATGACGAAGATGTCCAACCAATTCTCTTCAGCACCAGCGGTGGACTTACTCCGCGCACCCTGGGCGGCGGCCGCAGGGCTTCGAGCACCCGCGGCCCAAATCGCCCAATCTGGCTCCTGAAAATCAATAAAACAACCGAAAGGTCGCACAGCTGCTGGAGAGCGCGCGGGCGCCTGCGACTTCAAACGGGGTGGCCTGCGTGGACTGGTCCCCGCATCACCTAGTACCTGAACTTGCGCGTTCCAAAACTTACAGCGGGCCGTCCAACAAAAAAACGGTCGTCCTTTCCGAGGGCCGCAGTCCTCTTCGACGGAACCACAATCACCCATCCCGATCCTGTCCACCAATCCCGACGCCATCAACTCTGCCGGCCGGGACAACCTGCCAGTCCGCACTGAACACACATAGGAGGCCTGCTCCTTCTATCTCCTGTCCGACGGCACACAGGGTGCACCAATTACATTCACTCAAACCTTCCGAGCTGCGCTGCGCAAACTACACAGCACCCCCTTGGGCCCATGATTGGGACAATGGATGGAGGCTCGACCGATATAATACACGACATGCTTGACACTCTGGTTTCGCCAAGCCCATGG